AACATGGGAGAAATGTGAAATTTGATTAAAAAGAAATGCCTAAAAGATCGTCAGAAAAGAAGGTGTAGCTGTTGAAGATACAGGCCATGAAAAAGATGTCTAGTGTTGGGGATATGACTCGGTTGTGAGCACAAGCACCTAGGTTCTGAGTCCAAGAACCCGTGTAAAGTCATATGTAGTACTGTATGTCTATAAACCCAGTACTGGGTAACTGATTCAGTGAGCCCCTTATTCAGTAAAGCCTTGTATCAAAACATTGATGGAGAGCCACTGAGGAAGACAGTTGACTTGGATTCCTAGTCTCCACAACCGCAAACACAAACTTGTACCTGTGAAACTGTAAACACACATCACACACACATACACACATGCATCTACATACACACATACACCCATACACATACATGCATCTGCATACACACATGTGCACCAACACACATACACACATACTGTATGTTGGGAGTATGTAATTTGTCTTTTTATTTTATAGAGGCCTACAGTTATTTACCTGAGTCCACTTTGGACTGTGGACTTTTGAATAGTATTGAGACTGATAATGACTATGGGGACTTTTGAAGTTGGACTAAACACATTTTGCATTTTGTACAGTCATGAGCCTATGGGGGTCAGGGGGTGGAATGTGATGGTTTGAATGAAAATGTCTCCCATAGGCTCCAAGTGTTTGGACATTTTGTCCCCAGATGATGGCGCTGTTTTGGGAGGTTTTAGAAGGTGTGGCTATCCTGGAGGAAGCACGTCATTGGGGGTGGGCTTACAGAGTTCTTAAGCCTTGCCAGATCTCCAGTTGTTCTCTTGCTTCCTGTGCTTGCGTGATGATGTGAGAGCTTAGCTTCTGCTGCTCCTGTTCCAGTCACGCTCAGCCACCATGCTTCCCTACCACGACAGACTGTAATTCCCCTGGAACTGTAAGCTTAAATAAACTCTTCCTTCTATAAACTGCTTGGGTTAGTGTTTCTATCCCAGCAACAGGAAACTGACTAATACAGTATGAACTAGAAACTAAGTACTTCTTACCAGGCCAATAGAAATGTGCACTGAGGCCACTTCAGCAATCAACAAAACCCCTATATTGCAGGCTCAAATGCGTAACGATATAGACGCATTTGAAGCGATTTTTCTATGAGCAAAGAGAGATGTCCCTACTCAAACAATTCAGTCTCCAGAACGTTCCCCCAGATTCCTTGTTATTCAGAGACTACTGCAACTGTGGTCCAGGAGACATAGGTACTGGTCATGCTGGAAGAAGATCTTGATGTTGTCCAGATGATGCTGGCTTTTCAGGCATCAGAATGCAAGAATTATGGAGATCATGACATTGCTATGATTTAAAGGGAAGACCTATGAGGCCAGGCCATGTGTGACAGACTTAGAGTCCATGACAGCAGTCTATGGAAGGGCAAGGTATAAAAATGTCAGAGACAAATGAAAGCTTGTAGTGATATCAGAATGTTAAAGATGCTTGGAAGACAGGGCATCTGCTGAGGAAGTTTGCATGGAGACTACAGATATAGCCCACAAGAGTGATCACATGTACTGTAGCTAGCATGGTCAGACGGTGGCCTGCACAGGCTGTGTAAGATTACATCCTGGAATCATGTGCCTGATATACTGAACCTGGAGCTCTAGAATTTAATGTTTTTCCTGTTGGATTTCATTCTTGTTCTTTTGGATCCATCTTTCTCTTCCCTTGTTCCTCTACTTTTCAGTGGCTATGTGTCATCTGTTTCACCATTGTATGTCTGTTTTATGTATGGAACTTGTTTGTTGATCTTTAGATGCTCAAAGTTGTGAGTTTAATTAAATCTCACAAAAGGAATTGTACATGGTCTCTTGAAAAGTGCTGGAAATTTAGAATTTGGAGAACTGTTGAAATCAACTAAATACATTTACATTGTGATAAGGATGCAAACTTTAGAGCCTTTAGTACAATGTTAAAGTTTGAATATGAAATGTCTCTAAAAGGATCATATGTTAAAGGCCTTGCTTTCAGACAACATGGCTTTGGTGAACTGAATATATTGTGAAGTGACAGATGTCATCTATAGAGTAGTCCATTAATTGATTCATAAATTGATGACATCACTGGGATGTGATGTAAACTATAGGACTAGGCTTGGTTGAAGAAAGCAGATCAAACCAGGACAGGCTTTAACTGGTGTGCTCTATTTGTGACTGAATCACATTTCTGTTTCTATCTGCAATGAGGTGACCATCTTTTCTCTACCATTTTCTTATGCCATGATGTTCTTGCATAACAATAAACCTGAAACCAGTGTAACCAGTAGCCATGAACTGAACACACTGAAACTGTGATCCAAAGTATATTTGCCTTTTCTGTAGCTTTTTATTTCAAACATTTTTTTTTGGTCTTTTTGAGGCAGGGTCTCCCTGTAGCCCTTAATTTCCAAACCTATTATGGAAATTCAAATAAAAACACAAGACCACACTACGCCACAATCATTACAATGGCTAAAATGCAAAACTACCTGATGAGACCCAAAGGGAATCACAAATAATATAATCAATTACAGAGCTCTGCAGAAATAATCATCCAATGCTAATCATAACCTAAATCCCTACATAGTAATCTATGATAAATCTTGGAAGGAGGTTGTTTGCAGTGACTGGGAGAAAAGCAGGCCCCATACAGTATAACTGACCTGTTTTCTTAAATGTTGCAGTGGTGTCAGATAGACCAAAGGACCCACAGGACCCACTCGTTGCTAGAGTGCTCCTTTGAATACACACTGATGGAATGGGAGATACTGATTGAATTTCAAGGTATTTATAATGTAGCATCAAGGCAGAAGAAAATCAGGCTGTGTATACAGAAAAAGAAAGCATTCCTATGCTCTGGAACCAGAGCATATCACATTTCTTGCCAATCCAACTGAGGCTTTGATGAGGGTTAAAGCGCAGATTCAAATCACCTTATAAGTGTAAGAAAGAATGGCCTTCCAATTTTCATTTATTTTTATAATTTTAGTGATGCGAGATGGAATGGTTTTATCCATGATCAAAACCCCTGCACATAGGTACCTGAGAATCCAAATAAGACTTGTCTGCTGACTGACCACTGTTTCTAAGTGCTTTACTGATCAGTGGGAATTTCTGTGCCTCTATTACAAAGAAGGAAAAAGACTTGGAGATAATAGGTAATTTATTAAGGTTGGAGGATACTAGAATTTGGAATAAACATTAGCACTCTAGGAAGAAAGAATTCAGAAGCCTATCATGATCAATTTCCACCCTTTAAAGAAAAAGTGGCAGTTCCACCAGGGATAAAGTCTATCAGGACTTAGAGATATGAAAGGCAAATATAGGAACAGCCGTCTTAGGGTAGACGTATGTCCATGAGTCAGAGAGTGTGGACGGCACCTGCTTTCTTCTTGTCCACTGGTGGTTGCTTTTGTCCCAATATGTGTGCAAAACAGATTGAGTAGTGAAGAAATCAGTAGTTTACAAACAAATGAAGGAATTGCTGAATGGCAAGGATAAATTTAGTTGAAACTTTGGGTTAACTTTCAGTGAAGATAGTTAAGTCAATCACAGAATCACAGAAAACATACACGTAAAGAAATAAGGCCAATTGTTTTCTCTATACTTCCTTCTTTGGAAAAAAATTGTGTAATGGAAAGGAATTCCTTATGCCTGCAGATATGGGTAATGACGATCACTATGATTCTCCATCTCAAGAAAGGCCAGTAAATGGGTCTAATGAGCACCTGGAAAAGGATAAAGCCAAAGGTGTCCTTACTATGTGCTATGTTTAAAAAAAAACAAGCTTCTGTGAGATATATAATTTGCTAATTTACACTATCCCTTTACATAGGTTGATTCTTCTCCCTGGAGATTGTTGGCTTCATTGTGTAGAAGCTGTTATGTTTCATACAGTTACCTTAGTCCATTTTTGCTCTTGACTCCTGTACTCCAGTTCTTATCTGCAAAGTTCTTTTCCATTCCAGTACACTGACGAATTTCTTCTGTGGATTTTTTTTTTGTGATGGGTAATCTCATAATTTCATGTTTTACACTAATCCATTTAATCTATTTTTTAAAATTTTTATTGCTCTTTTGTTATTTCATACAACAGTTCTAAAATTTAGACCCACTCCCCATCCATGCCATCCATTCCCACACCAGACCTCATGGATTCTGCCATACATGTTAGGTCCTATCCAGTCAAGCATTTGACCCAGATGTCCTTCAGTGTAAATTCATCCACTGGAGTCTAGTCAGCCCATCTAGAGATTGTAAATAAGGCATACTCTCTCTCACCCGGTTGCAATCAGTCTCCAGTAGCTCTCAGTCTAAGACTGGCCTGTCACCCATTTCTCTCCTCCCTCTGGTCCCTTGTTTAGTTGAGTTGACATGGGTCCTCCTAGCTCTGGGCATGATCACCTGTGAAAATCCAGCAGCAGTCTCCCATGCTATGCGTATGTCCCATAGTGCCACCAAGGTTACTTGCTTACAACCTGAACCTAGAGCCCACCAAGACAGGTAAAGACTGGAGGAAGGATGAAAGTACACATGCATGGATATGGGGTGTCTAGTGCTGAGATGGACATGTGGCTCAAGGTTGTTAAAATGAGCCCTGATGATGCTGGCTGAGCTAATTGTCAGGTACAGTGGACCATTGTAGAGAAGTTCAAGTGGTTCTGAGTAAGGTTGTCTCAGAGACATTGTAGTCAGTGTGTTTTTTCCTTTTTATAAAACAAGACCTGTGTCACACAGGTTACAGAAGAATGGTTATGTTCTTAACTAATTTAAGGTCAGGTGATCAACTGAAAATTGCCGTCCCTTATAAGGTCAGAGTTTGTTCCCAAAGTCAGTTCTGACTGATTAAAGGAATGTTCAACTGCTACACGAAGCTATTTCCAGTTCCCTAGGCTTTCCTAGAAGCCTAGAAGAACATTTTCCACAGTCTTCCTTCTCAGGAGTGTCCTGCAGGGCTCTCTGAAGAAGCAGCTTGAGAGCGTTCAACTGCTACACGAAGCTATTTCCAGTTCTCTAGGCTTTCCTGAAGTACACTTTCCACACTCTTCCTTCTCAGGAGTGTCCTGCAGGGCTCTCTGAAGAAGCAGCTTGAGAGTCCCTCGCTGGAACCTGCGATGCCTAATGGAGCCAACAAAGAAGTAAAAGATGGGGTTGACACAGCTGTTAACACAGGACAGGAAGATAATTACATGATGAAAAATGGCATTATGAAAAGGGGCATTATAATACAGACTATCAATCCATGTTAAGACGAACCAGTTGATCCCAAAGGGCAAGCCAAAGAGAAGGAAGACCAGCACAGTAAGTGCAATGGTCACATAGAGCCTGGTCGAAAAGTACAAGGGGCATTATAACACAGACTATCAATCCATGTTAAGATGAACCAGTTGATCCCAAAGGGCAGGTCAAAGAGAAGGAAGACCAGCACAGTAAGTGCAATGGTCACATAGAGCCTGGTCACAGAAGTCTGTCTTGAGCCACAGAAGATCCTGACCAGCAGAGCCAGGCTGGACCCAAAGAGAACCACAAATAAAATAATCACCCATAATACATTAATGACATCAAATGTCTGATACCAACCAGAGCCAAAACCCTGAACTAGAAAGCCACATCCTGCCCCTTCCAGGAGGCTCAAGAACAGGGACGAGGCCCAGAGCAGGACACACATGACAGCTGATGTGTGTCTTGGGTGTCTGCAGTGGTACCAGATGGGCCACAGGGCACAGAGGCAGCCCTCAGCACTAATGGCACTGAGCATGCTCAGGCCTACAATGTAGGCAAAGGTGAACATAACAGTTAAAAACCTAGAGATTTGGATTGAGGTCGGGCTGATGAAGTTAATGATGCTCTCTATGGAGAACACAATATGAAAGCAGAGGAAGAGGAAGTCAGCCCCGGCCAGGTTGAGGACGTAGACAGTGAAGGCATTCCTGTGCGTCCGGAAGCCCAGAAGCCACAGCACTGCGTCATTTCCTGCCAGCCCATGCAGGGCAATGCTGAAGGTAAGGAAACTCAGAGTAGGGCTCATAGTTTCACAACGTGGAGTTAGACCGTGGTCACTTCCATTCACTGTTGTGATTTCAGTCCCCCAGGCTGAGATGGTGGGATCCATGCTTTGGAAGGTTCCAGTAGTGCTCCTGAAAAGAGAAAAACAAGATGTAAAGACATGCTGTGTAATCTCTGATTCTCATAAACACCCTGCAATGTAGTAATGACTGACTCTTTTTTCTTTTTCTTTTTCTTTTTTTTTTCACAATGGACAAGAAAACAGGGTGAAAGAATTTGAAGTAATTCTCTAAACCCTCAACGTTCTACAAATTTATTTTATATTCAATTTGTACTGATTTTTGATATTTATAAACCATGTTCCCACGGATACTGGAGCAGTTGATGTCACCAATTCATCCCCTAAGCATCTTAATGAGACAGAATTCTGAACCTAACTTCCTGTCTGTTCTGATGCTCATGTTTCTTTTCACATACAGAAATGTGTGCCACAGCATGACCACTGCCAACCTCTGTCATTTAGAGGGAGGCTACCAAATGGAAAAATAATAGAAATCACGAATACCAGTCATAGAAGAAATGCCACTTTTTAATTTTTACGAATTTCAAACAATCTGTCTTGATCATATTTAGACTCCCTTCCCTACCTGCACCCCTTTTATAACCTCTGCTGCCTGATTTCGTGTATGATGTCATATTTATTAAAGCCTATGGAGACAAGGTTGTGTCTCCATACTTCCTTCAGTGTGGGTCACTCTACTGGAGACTAGTTAACCTACTGATCATTGCTCTCTTAAAGAAAACCAACTCTCCCTCTCCCAGCCATTATGGGTTGCCAATAGCTCCTCAGCTATGTTTAGGGCTTCTACCCATGCCCCATTTGTACTTTGTTATTTTGTCTGGACTGACCTTGTGTGGGTCTTACACATGCCGTTACCATTTTTCTAAGTTCATATGAGTAACATTCAAAGATGTCTGGAAAACTCTGCTTCTTTGTAATCATAAACCACCTCTGGATCTTATAGTTATTCCACCCCCTCTTCCACAATGGTCCCTGGTGGCAAAGGGTGGCTATAGGTGTCCAATACAAGGATTAGCATTCTGTAGAACCTCTTCTGCACTTTGGCAAGTTGTGGCTTCCTGGGTTAATCACCACCTGTTGCATGAGGAAGCTTCACTGATGAGAGTTGAGAGCTGCTTTAACGTTCCTTCTGTCCCCTGTTCCACTATGTTCCTTGAGCCTTAGGTATTGAGGTTTTGTTGTGAATTTGTTACCCACACATTCCCTGTGTTTGACCTATATTGAGACTTTGTAGTAGTCTCCATTTGTTGCAAAAAGAAGCTTCTATTATGAATGGTAAAAGTTCCATTTATCTGTAAATATAGGGATATGTTTTTAGAATTCTGTAAGAAATTAGGTTGTTCTAGGAATGTGACAAAAGTAGATTTTCTCTAGGGTCAAGATCATCTCCAGCCATATGCATTTGTCTATGTTTACAGTACCACACCTGAGTTCCTTCCCACTGAAAAGGCTTTAAATCCAATTAGGCAGCTGTTGATTACCCCAAGGTAAAAGTGCTACTACTGTACCAGGAGAGATGATTACTGAGCCAGTCATTGCTGTGGTTCATAGACTTTACAGATCATTAATTGGTTTTTAACCCTTGGCAGATTACATAACCTTCTGATATATGGGAGCTAGTCTTTGAGGGGGAAGCCTCCAGGTTGGTTCCAACTCGATTGCTCCAAGTCCTATGTCCAAAGTATGTCCTATCTTCAGCAATAGTGTCTAATACTAGAAGGCAATCAAGATCTGTGGCAATAGCTCTTTCAATTTCTTTTTGAAATGTCATTTCTTACTAAAAAGGTGTTAGAACACCTTACTTCGAACACCAAGACTTGTTAGGCTGGAGTAATAGTCTACATTTCAAATTTTGGAAACTAAGAAGCAGAGAAACCTTAGAGCATATCAAGTGCTATTCTGTTGCATGTTTCCTTGTTACAAGTGTCTGTCTCTCTGCAGGGGCACAGTGCATAGGCAAAAATACTGAACAAATGAATAAATGAATCATAAAGCAAGGGTAGTTTAAAATTCAGAAGAAATATTCTGCAAATATTTTAAAATAAACAATATCAGAAAGCACATATAGAGCATGAACAAAATATCATTACTAATGAGTCTTTCAGTGGAAAGCTATAGTATATTTGAAATATTCTTATGCTGTAGAGATGGCTAATGGTGGATGTTTTCATATCTGCTACCCAGGAATACCCAGTGAATGATTGTAATGATGATTTGGAAGAGTTTCATAGCTCAGGCATAGGATTTGGTGCTGAACTGAATTTTCTAATACTTTTCAGTAGTAAACAACAAATTTGGGGAAAGAGAAAAAAAGTCTCAGTGGGGCTAAAAAGGAGGTATTATCTCAGAGGAGTATCTACAGGGGAATAGAAAGTCAATTTCTATGACATATGCATTATAAAACCACATATCACATGACACAGGCAATTTTAAGTACTATTTACTTTACAGTTTAAGGCAATAGTGAAAGGATTATCTGTGGGGTGATATTTAATTTAAATGCTCATTGGTGAAGGCCTTTGAATAAAAATTCTTTAAAAAAAAAGATGCTTATGCAGTGTCGAGTTGGAAAACAAGGATCAATTCGCCTGAAAGTGGATACTTGAAGCTGGTTATATGATTAATTCATTTTGATCTTCTAAATTGTCATCTTAGGTCATTAGTATTCACACGAACAGGTGAAGTAATAGATGCAGAAACACATTGACAGGTTTGATGTCAAGAACTGATACACAGAAAAAAACGGTGATATGGTAGACTGAGGTGCAAGGTTTCATGGTGAGGTGTCACGTGAAGGCATAGAAGCACAGCAGTAAGTCACTGGAAGAACCAAACAGAACTCATAAACACTGGGCTTTACATGTGTAAGAACTCTAAAAGCTCTTCCTATCAGGTGCTCAGAGTCCCAGAAGGGAAGAGGAAAATTCCCATCTTGTAGAAGTGTGCTATAGCTTAGTGTCAACTTGACACAGCTGGGTTGAGGGAGCCTCAACTGGGGAATCGCCTCCATTGGACTGGCCTGTGGCCATGTCTGAGGGGCATCTTCTTGATTGCTGAGTGATGTGGGAGGGCCCAGCCCACTGTGGGTGGTGCCACCCCTAGGCAGGTGGGCCTGTGTTGCATAAGAAAGCAGGCTGAGCAGCTGGGGCCAGGGGAGCAAGCCAGTGAGCAGCATTCCTCTATGGCCTGTGCTCCAGCTTCTGCCTCCAGGTTCCTGCCCTGAGTTCTTATCTTGGGCTCCCTGATGAACTGTGACCCAGAGATGTAAGCCAAATATACCAGTTCCTCCCCCAAGTTGGTATTGGTCAGAGTATTTTGTCACAGCAATGAAGAAATAAACTAGGACAAGTAGCTTCAGCAAAAGAGAAGAAGAAAGTGTCCAAACATCACCGACACAAAATTTGTCATTTTGAAAAAGATAACCTAAGAAAGATTCTTCAGTCAACACAGCAAGCTGATGCTGAAGAATAGAACCCCCACTCTTCCTAGTTTGCTCCTGGAGCCATGGCAAGGATCCATCTTATACAAGTTATAGTGTCAAACCTTAACTGTGGGGGAGAAGTAGAGTCCAGAGCAATTGTATTTCTCCCCCATCCTAAAGATTCTTCTTCATTAGTTAGGTAATTAAATCACCAAGATCCAATGAGGGCCAGGTGAACGGCTGCTCTTTGCATGTAAGTTCAAAGGAACAGATCTCGTGGTGAAAAGTGCAGGCTGTGCTACACAGGGAACGAGCAGACACCTGCTTTCAGAAATAGTGCCCCCACCTCTAAAAGGAATAACAGCTACAATTGGGTCTAGGGAGGGTCTGGACAGACACTGAGGCAAGCAGGTTCATTCATTGCTTTCACCCAACCCCAAAACTAAACCCCAAGCATTTTTCTTTGACTGAATCTCTTTCCCACTCCCAGAGCAGCAAAGAAATTTGGAGAAAACACGGTTGTCTGGTATTTCCTAAGCCCACGGAGAGTTATTTTGTTCATTCTCGACTTGTGCTGCGTCCGCTTCATTTTGTTTTCCCTCCGTTATTTCCATCACTTCCTCCCACAATGCTGTCCCCACCTTCCTGTTTTCCTGCTTCTGTCTTTACTCCTAGCATGTGGCTGTTTTGCATGACTGTCTTATCAGACTTTTACCTTTAATAATCCCTAACTTCCCAGTTATTCTATATCACCTTAGCTCTTTTCTCTTCTATACATATTTGGAGTGAAGTTGTTTGTTAATGGATTGTTCTTAGATATATTGCGGACTCTTCTTAGATATATTGTTTTAATTGATTCAGTATGTATTTTCTCTGTGAGTGGTAATTGAATTTGAGAATTAAAGAAAAAG